ATGGAATACTTTTCTTTCAATGTTGTGCCCATACCTGAGATCAAATGTTCTTTCTTTGAAATTACTTACCATTACTTAATTTTTTAAAATTTACCTTCCAACAAAGAACATACGTTCTCCTCATGAAGAACGTTGGTTTTGGTGATACTGTAAAGATCGAGCACTGACTATCCCTGACAGCGGACTGACCTTGACAGAGGATCGCAATATTTTGTCTGATTTCCAAACGATTTTGTCAGTGCCACAGACCAAAAATTATGGTCAAGTGGGAGAGAGTAACAGCATGGCAATTTTTATAGATCTAACACTAAAATCCACAGCACCCAGTCCGAGCCAGTCTGCCTGAAGAACCACTGACTTGTGAGCAGCTGATGATGGATCAACTACCCCCCCCGAATACACAGACAGCTTTGTACCCCTCCGAGCAGAAGGAGTAGCAGCCTGTGACTTACCTCAAGTGCAGTTTACATCTCAGTTGAAAAGTCTCTAAAAAGTAGCCTTCCATTTTTTATACAGTTGAAATTGGTTAAGAAGGCCACTTTTTTAGGAGAAAGATGGTTGTCTTAAACAGGTGGACATCTTAGACAGTGTCATTATTATATTGAAAAAAAGACAAGGGGGGGGGAGGGGTCATTTGGACAGGTGACAGTTAGAGCAGGTTCAACTGTACTTGGGTAGCAAGTTGATAATATTCTTTAAAGTTTTAAAACTTTTACACCAAAGATGTATTGTCTTAATTTGTGTAATTTGATACTTAAGTCTAGTTGGGTTTTTTTTTTTCTTTCATACGTGGGCAGTGGACTTCTTTGGGTGCATTCTTGTTTATATATATATAAGTGAATGCAGCCTGTTTTCCACTCCTTGTGTGTTTCAGCTAACACTTCATTTTTTTATACACCAAAGGGTTTTCCTACAGCTTTTCGTTACACTCGATTTTGTGTAATTTTGTAGGGGTCTTTTCTGGCCTGGAAGTTTTTAAAACTCTTTTTAAATAGCTTCTTTGGCAAAGGTTTGCATTTTCTTGATCCTTTGTATGTATCAGTTCTGAGGTGAGGGCTGGAAGGTTACACCGCCGGTATTGAAAGCTTGGTTTTTGTTTTTGTTCTTCCATGTGTCATCATTTGTGACCTCTACAAAGTCAAAATTCTGTGAAATCTTTTTATCAAGTGACACCAGAGACCCCACAGATTTGCTCTTTTTGAGAGCGTTGCACTTATTGGAAGAATTACTTTACAAAACTCCCAAAAAAAAACAACTGACGGTCTACTTATAGAAAGGGTCATACAGTCTATTAAACTTACAGAGCTGTTTTTACTAAGACGCTCATACTAATGTACTAAATTGGAACATGAAATGAAATCAAAGTAGGTAATGTTATAAGGGGGGGGGGGGGGGGGAGCTGATGACAAATTGATGAGATCCAGGTGTGTCCATTTCTTTCTTCATGTGTGCACAGTTAATTTTGAAAACGTCACCTGCCTTTATTCAGGGTAGATCTATCTCTTTTGTAGTACATGTTGCTGTCTGGATGACCAACTGATCATGATGACAGTTTCAGGCCCACGTTCTGTTTTCTGTCTGTAGTTTTGCTAAGCCTCATTAGTGTTGATCAATTCAATATAGATCTGTACGGTGTATTAGCTCCGTTAACGGGACTGAGAACAGAATAAAAGACCGTTTGAAATTCAATGTGCTGTTAACTTGTAGATGACTTAATATGTGAACGTGTTTATGTATATAGTGTGGGTGTGTCTGTGTGTATGTGTGTGTGTATGTGTGTGTGTGTGTTTGTGGGGGGGGTTATTGACACCTCGGCCTCATGCACAAGTTGGATTTTAGTTTAACATAGTTTGACTACTGGATATTGTCAGCGAGCTATTCAGATGTACTAAGCACAATTTTTTAAACAGTTTTATGGCAGTTCCTTAATCTGTCATATCGGCAAGCACCGTAGCATAAATGGACACTCCTCTCTTCGATATTTCTCCCGAAGCCAATGTTCTCTATCAATTATACTTATTCTGTTTTATAATTATGTCGTAAATCAGTCTTTGCCTGAGATATTTGTGTGCTGTGTTGTATGAAGAGGAAGTTTCAGGGGCTTTGCATCGGGTGGTTGATGTACAGCACACAGAAAGAGGACAGGTTTGACTTTTGGCCAAGTAGAACATTATTCATACAGTATAAATTGGCTATAGCGGGACTTACAGTTCATAGAAAAAAATCCTGCCTTAGGCAAGTTCCCGCTATAGGAATGCAAAGGGAATTTGCCGAAAAAATCACACACTACTCGCTCTCCTCTTCTTCTAGGCTACTGTCTTTTTGGCCTAGCATAGGCCTAGGGCAATTGCGCATCACTTTTGGAGTGGCTCATGTAACGCGTCTCTCTGCACCATCTCTCTCTCTGACGCCTCCCCCACCTCACTCATCACAAGACTGACCAATCACAACGCCGCACCGCTGACTGGCTGTTTGGAGCCCACCTACAGCTCCCCCCCCC